GGGTAGAGGTATACTGTTCAAGAACAATGGCCACATGAAGGTGGAGGTCTATACGGATGCCGATTGGGCCGGGAGTGTTGATGACAGAAGGTCTACCTCTGGATATTGTGCTCTTGTGGGAGGTAACCTAGTCTCTTGGAGGAGTAAAAAACAGAGTGTTGTCTCCCGATCTAGTGCTGAAGTTGAGTACAGGTCAATGGCTAACGGAGTGGCTGAAATTCTTTGGCTGAGATCACTACTTGAGGAGTTGGGTATTGAGTATGAGAAGCCCCTGATGCTGTATTGTGATAATCAAGCGGCTGTTAATATAGCACACAACTCGGTGCAGCATGACAGAACTAAACATATTGAAGTTGATCGACACTTTGTACGAGAGAGGGTCTCATCACAAGAAGTGTCTCTCCTGTACATCACCTCCAACATGCAGTTGATAGATATCCTCACCAAAGTTGTACCACGGAAGAAGCTAGAGGCGGATCTATCCAAGTTGGGAATGATAAACATTTATTCCCAACTTGAGGGGGAGTGTAGAGAACACTGATGTGGGCCCCACAGCTACGGTCCCACTGTGTTCGTAGGATAGAAGGTGTTCTAGTCTTCCTAGGGTTAGCCGTTGGTCATTTAGTTGTTTCAGTTGCTATTTATTTCAGTCTTATTTTKCTCTATTATGTTATGTAAAGACTAAGGGCAGATCTGTCCTTTCCATGTAATGAGCATAACCTATAAATATTAATTAAAGTGGCGGCGGCAGAACATTAAGCTTCTGCTCCTCCTTTCGACTCTTGTGTTCTACTGCTTCTCTTCCCTCTTTCTCCTCTCTTCTCTTTAACTTTCTTCTTATTTTCAAACCTGAAATCCATTAGGGTTCAAGACTGATAACAGTCCTGAACTTCTACTGGCCCAAAGGTACCAGCTTCCCAAATCAACAAAAGAAAACACCCAAAACAGAAAGCCCAAAGCCCCAGGAACTTTTTTTTTTTTGATCAATAACAAAAGTTTTCATTAATGAGAAAAAGTCAATTACAAGAGTCCCAGGAAATTAAAAAACATAATGACATAATCCTTCACCTAATACAACAAGTTGTCAAGTGAATCAAACTACAGACCCATCAAAAACCCACCAAAGAAAAGACATTCCTTCCAGATGACTCCTGCATAACTGTAATACTCAATTACTTAGCACCTCCTGAGTCTATACCAACACCCTTTTTGCTTCTCTTTGTGGCTTTCTTTGTTTTCTTCACCTTCTTTAGGGCACCATTCCAAATAAACCCCCTCTCAATCTAGCAAAAACTTTTGACACTTGGACAGCTTGCATACTCTTCTGGCTTCTAAATCTCCTTCCTGCATTAGGGTCTAGGGATTTTCTCAAGAACATGTGAGTCCTTATTGTGATCAATGATTTTTTCCATATCCAAAACTGCATTCTTCTCAAATACCGAGTCTGCTGCCAGCTCACCATCCATACGGATATTAATCCTTATATGTCTCAATTATAATTGGGTCAGTTCTGGTGGGTTTTGCTATTGTGTCACAATTACAATTGGGTTGATAGACCTTAACTGACTATATATATGTAATTACATTACTTTCTCATGGTGAACTTGTAATGTTATTATTTTAGCATATTGCAAAGATACTCCCAATCCAATACCTAGCTTTCTCATGGTGAACTTGTAATGTTATTATTATATTATCATACCCAAATGCGTCAATTTAATGAATGAGTATAGCTGTCAATCGTAATCACGTCTTCTTGGGTTAGACCCAATAGTCCCAATTAATAATTAGGTTAGTTCTGAGTCTCTTATTTACAGAATGTAGGTGGTGTTTGGTACTTTGGTAGATAGCCATTTTGTTTGGTTTCGGACCACACCATGGAAGACACATTCTTTTAAGCTGTGGAATGTTCTGAAACTGACCGAGTATATTTTGACAAAAATATTTATATTTGAGATTCCAATGCTTTGTGTAACACACTGGCTACCATAGTACAGAACACTACCAAAGGTCTGATGAGTTTACCTATCATTTGAAAAACACTGCAGTGGGGACAAATAGCCTGGCATGCACCAAACTTTTTACGTACATCGTACTGAACGAGATGTACTGAACATCCCCTTATTGGTTCAGTATTGGGTCTACTCGGACACGACCCGACCCACCCATTGACAGCACTATTTTGGAGGGAGAGGCATAAGATTGTTATAGATTCCCTAATTTATTGTCTTTCTGATCTCAATGAAAACTGAACACTATCTTTATTGCCATGCCTATGTGGGGTTTTTCTTGTTGAATTTGGCTTTTGTGGGAACTTTAGGGTCTTCAGAAAGGTTAATGTGTTTTATTTGGTTGATTGCCTGAAGGATGTCAATTTTTTATTATTTGACAGATTTTCCTTCTTTCTGCCTATACATCTATTACTGATTTGATTGCTCCAAATTCAGTTCTCAGTTTAACATTTTAATGTAAGTTCTTGAATTGTATTTGTAGTAGTTTATCTCATAACAATCTTAGTTCATTATTTTCATATTTGTTAAGGATACGGTGCATTTTTCATTATGCAGAATTAAGTCTATTGCTACGCAAGCATCACAGTGCTTTCCCTTCCCATCGTTAACTTTCTTGAAGATTAGGAATTAGACTCTGAAAGACTTTTCTTAACTTGTTTACTTGAATAGTTTCTTTGGAAGATTAGGAACCCAGTTTTCTGGTATTGGAAGGTCATTTGCCCTATGAGTTTATCAATGTATTTTGGTTCTGCTGTTGCTGCAATTAATTTTGGAAGGTCATTTGCCCAGTTTTCTTAACTTGTTTACTTCTGAGAGTGATATGATATACTGTATTTTTAGTCATTTTTAGAACTTATTTTCAAAGGAAACATCTACCGTGCAGGTGCTCATTAATCAACTCAAGGAAGTTGCTCCAGCAATAAAAAAATCAATTTCAGAGCTCACAGAAGAAGTGAACAATATTTCATCCACTCTACCTCCCATGGCTACATACTATGGCAGATCTAATTCACCCATCCAAGCTCAAAGTAGTGGAAGGACAGTGGTAATTGCTCTTTTAAATGTTTACTTTGACAGTGTCTTTTTCTTCTCTTAAATCATGTGACTAACTGAAAATCTCTGAACTAAGCAGGAAAACAGCATTGCTGAAGTCGCTGAGGTGACTTCAAAACTTTCTACTGTTCAGATTGAAAAAGTTCCGGCCACTTCTCCTGCTTTGAAACTCCCACAGTTATTTAGTCTAACCTCAAACTCAACTGGTAGAAGTGCAAATCTGCAAAAACGGCATGCTTTAGCTCCTCAAGCAAGTCAAATGGAGAATTTGTCTGAAGGGAAATCTCTGAACCAGCCTTTGTTTAATAATCATGTAGATAATTCACCACAAGGTTTGCAATCCTTTTTTGTTGTTACCCACCTTATGTCCATTTCCATGGTTTGTCAGTTTTCTGCTAAAGTTGAATAGCATCATAATTTTTGTTCTAGCCAGGGGAGTTGACTCTTGTTTTTGTTTCACAGAAAGTGATAGTAACTATGTCCAGAACTTGAGGAGATCTGTTCGGGAAGCTGCTCTTTCAATGCCTACTGTACAATTATGCAATACAGGCTCACGGGAGAGTAATGCCAATGATAGCTCAGAACATTTCTTTGTACCCCTTTCAGCGAGTTCATTTTCTTCTGTTGGCCTAGAAACCAAATCAGTTCCAACCAAGAATAAACAACTTGTTTCTCCACCAGACGCCTGCTTGCTTAAGAATAGTGCTTCCATTAGCCATGATGGGAGCAAGTATGAAGAAATGCCAAACATGTTGATTGAAACTGATTTTGATGACCATGTTAATGGGGTTCTTTCAGTTTCTGGTTCAAATTACGGTATTTCTGATATCCAAAAGACATTTTATGACTTGGAAGATACTCAGGATCAGGTCTTCTCTCCTCCGTTGCTAATGGAGACATCACTCTTAGAAGATTCATACGAGGATTTGCTTGGTATGTGAAATTTTGATCTTTTCAATGCTTTACGTGTCTCTATTCTAGTGTTCTTTAGTGTGTTTATGTTTATTGGAAAACCATATGATGTTTGGGTACTTCTATTAGGCATGACACACCATAAAGGGGTGTTTAGATTGCTTCTTTAATTATCACCTTTATTTTTTTCTTTAATTATTGTCTGGACGCACCTAGTTCAACTCTCAAATCATTTGGACCGGCACCTGATGTCTTCTCCCAGAAGTTTACCGTGTTGCTTTTCTACTTCCTAGGCACCAAACGGATATTTTTCTAGCTGTTAAGATCATATTTCTTTGGGGGGGGGGGGGTCTTCGGACGCTTATACATGGAGAAGTAACCTGTGCTTAATATGCAGAACTTTCCTTTATTGTCCGCTTTCTCCTTGTTCTATAAGGAGTTTTATCTTTTTTGTTCGTTTTACTCTGCAGCTCCATTGTCTGAAACAGACACAGCCTTAATGGAACGTTGAGGCTGAGCTTGGACCTGGTATCTATGATGGGCTTGGGAAGCATCTCAATCAATTCGAGTACAAACTGCAGTAACAGTTAGGTGCAATCGGTTATGCAGTGATATTGTTCATCTCTTGTCATTGGTTTTTGTATTACTTATTGTTTGTATTATTTTATTCTAAATGCCATTATCTCCGTTTATCTTCTCCATACTAATGAACAAGAAATTTTAAATTGTCCTATTTTTGAAGCTACAACTGTAATTACACTGGTGTACAAGGGAGCATGGACTAACACTTGGCTTCCATCTATATCTCCTGGGTCTTAAAGCCAGCCTGGATCAGATGTTTTGACTGGCTGACCGCCTGACCCATCACATTTGTCTATTAATGTGAACCAAAAACAGGGATGATAACGTCTGAGTTTTGTTGGTTCTCAATCCCTTGGGCCTGGGTGAGTGGGTGATCTGATAGGTGGAAATTTACCGCACCTACTGAGTCGATTCGGATTTATTTTTTTGCTGTTGAAAACAACTGATACCCGAACAGCGATTATTAGGTAAGTAGCCGGTATCCAAAAGATGGTTTCTTACTCCATTTGAATTGTACTGCACCTAGTGGAAATTGGAAGCTTTTTATCTGCGTTTATAATCTAATTCTCCACCTTTGGCACGTTTGTGATCTGAACTATGAACTTTCCCATGTCGATAGGTATTCGATGCCCAAATAGTGTGTAAGTGGGTTGCTAACTGAATAAATTAATTTCGCGTAGAAAAACTTAAAGGTTATTGAAGGAAACAACTTTTGTTTTGTTTTGCTTTGTTTTTTTTTTTTTTTTTTGGTGAGAAGAGAGATCATTCATAAAACTCAGAATCAGATGAATACCAGTTTAAAGAGTTACAATCCACTCTATTGGTACAAGCTTTGCTAGCAAGGAAATGCGCTCTAAAATTTTTGAGCCGCGGCACATATCTAATACAGACTGAATTAAAAGAATTAAGCTCAGCCTTGATATCATCCAAAATCAACCAAATGTCTTTTTGGGGAGTAACCAAAAAAGCCACTGAGCTGCTTTGCCAAGTAAAGATTCGCCATGAAGGCACTAGCTTTAGCAAAAATAGGAGAGTATGTGTTCTGAGAGAGCTGCTAAAAGAAACCTGAAAAACGATCTGAAATGAAGACACCAACAGCAGAAAAACCATCACCAGAAAAAGGAGCCGTCCTGATTCAATCCTCACAAAATCATGGTCACACTGTCCTCGGCCTTTGTCAGCTGTCAATCGGGAACATCTTCATATTTGTGTCTCTTTATTCATGCGAACATCAGCACTCTCTTTTACCCTATGAGAAAGAGCTGCACCTGTTCTTCTATAGTTCTATATAAGCTATACTAATAGAGCACAATAGGAAGAAACTGATGAATCATCTTGAAACATGGTTGAACGATCTCTAAGGGATATGTTAAACCAAGTCGGCGGGGGGAGGGGGGAGGTGACGAGTCAAATTCATCAGATCTACAGCCCATACAAGAAACTAACCAAATCCTGGGAGTATGGTTGCTAAGAAACAGAGCATGATCCAGAGATTCGCCCTCTTCCTTACATAACAGGCAAATGAGATATACATTTATACCTTTACAGCAAGATTCTTGAGAATCCAGATTTGGGTTCGGGATCTCCAAATATTGGATTTTCTCCTCACTTGATGAAATGATCCCGATCTCAATATATGGTTTCAATTTGCCGTTAGGTTGGTGTGAGAAGCGCGTGAGGAGTAAATCTGAATTCGTAAGGTTATGTTTGGAAGGAGTAGAAATGCAAATATGTAGGATGTAAAATCTTGTATTTTGTATTATTTTGTATATATTTACACTATATATTTGTCTTTGTTTTCTTTCCAAAATGAGTATTATTTTATATATATTTACACTGTATATATTTGTATTTGTACTCTTTCCTAAATGAGCCCAAAGGTATTCTTTATACACCGCTACAGGTCCTGTGAGGTGGATTAAAACATTAATGTGAGGGTAAAATAACATCTGCAAATTGCAGAGACTGGATCTGCTCCTCACACAGGGGTGCCTCACATGCACATCCACCGTGTATTGGGAACATCTCCTGTGAATACTAACTTATAAGTACAGGAGATGTTCTCAATGCATGCTATGATGTGCGTGTGAGGCGCCCCGTGTAAGGAGCAGATCTGGTCTCCAAATTGGAACCAATTCCAAAGACAAATCAGTTTGGATGTACTGATCATGGTCATCCAGCTGCATATCATGAACACCAGTTATACTTTAAATCGTTCATATTTCCGATGTGCGGCATAGTGAATTAGGCCAACAATGTGTTATGTTGAGTTCACATCTCCGCCCCACAATGCTCCACAGTACATCCCTGCCGTGTATTGAGAACATCTCCCGATGATGACATCATCAGTTTCGGTGCTATCATCGGGAGATGTTCTCAATACACGGCAAGGATGTGCTATGGGGCAAACTCGTGTTATGTTCAGTAGATCCGATACAACCATTTTTTTTTTGTTAAGTAAAATATCTAAAAATCTTTGTCCAATCATACCCCTCCCACACGACGCCCAATAGGCATGTGATAAGTGGCACATTACGTGTTGTTTGCTTGATTCATGCTCTTGGTTGCATTAGTGATATCGCCCAATCAAAGACCCCAGATGTCACACTTTTGTCACTCCAATCTCTTACCCACAAGAATTCTATCCACGTTTACCCACAAAATAGTGAACATCCCTTGCATATAACATGTAGGAAGATGAGATGCTCCCAATGTGGCTGCGATGTTATATAGGTAGGTGTGGGTAAAATTGTCATGGGTACAGAATCAGAACTCTTGTATGGTGATGTGTTCAGATGGAAAGAATTTTTTTCTTATCTTGCCAGGGTTGTAATTTGGCTTAGCTTAATCATATTCGAAATGGGAGCTCAGTGATCACATCAATACCCCTATAGGAGATGTTCTTAATACACGGTTGGAATGTGCTGTGAGACGTGATGTAAACTCCTCAAATGGAGATGGAATCTGCTCCTCACTAGGGCTGTTCATAAGAATGCCCAACCCAACCAAACTGACCAGCCTGGACCAATCCAACCCGAGTTGGTCGGGTTTTCATCATTACCAGTCGGTTTTGGGTTGGGCAAATATATAAACCGATATATTGGGCCGGTTTCGGTTTTCTTGTGTGAAAACCAAAACCAACCCGACACGAACCGAACTAGTCTTCTACTAGTTCGGTAGTTCATAGTTTGAATAGTTTTCTACTTAATTATAACTAGTCTTCTATTAGAACTAGAAGGCCCATTAGGCAATTACAATTAGAATAGACAATCTATCATAGTTTTTAACTTTCTATAGTCTTTTACACCAAATAGGCAACCCATTAGGCAATTACAATTAGAATTCAATTAGGTGTCCTTTTGTACAACAGCAAAACCGAAACTGACCCAACCTGACTCAAACCGACCAGGTCGATTTAGCCTATCAGTGGGTCGGTTTCGGTTTCCACCTCAAGTAACCCGACCAGGTCGGGTTAGTTGGGAAAACCCCAATAAACCGACCCAACCCGACTCGTGAACACCCCTACTCCTCACAAATGGGCGCCTCACATCCACATTCACCGTACATTAGAAATATTTATCGTAAAAATAACTAATAAGTACGATTTACAATGCATGATAGGATGTGCGTGTGAGGCGCCAGGTGTGAGGAGCAGATCCCGTCTCCCCCAAATGGACGATGGCTATTGTCTACCTGCGAGACATGGGTGTGGCCCACTGGCCCGGGTCCGCTACAAAAAAGACGTGTACACCAGCTTACTTTATCCGAAGATTCCGAAGACAGTGATGCACACCGGTCACCGGTGATGCCGGTAACCATTTACAAACTTTTTTTTCCCCACCATTTACCAACGTACCAAATAGCCAGTGCCAACAACCCAACATTCCAAAAAAAAAAAAAAAAAAAAAAAAGCTTGTAAATTCGAATTAGCATTTGTGATGTTTGTAATCATCATCGTGTATGACTTTAAAAAGTGCCCTTTCCGCCCTTTCAATTTTCATTGACACAAAGTTCCCTCGCATTTGTAGCTCTGTCATCGGGTGGAAGCTGAGAGAGGCAGATGAAAGGAAGGAAAGAGAGGAAAATACTAGCTTTCACGGGAGTCGCCGCTCTCGTTGCAGTCGCTCTGAATCTCATCATTACCACAGTTAACTCCCAGAAAAAGAGAAAAAAGAAAGGTCTTAGTTCTCCACTATCTCTTCATTGTTTTTTTTTTTGTTCTTTTTCGAAGTAATTCTCAATGTGCTTTCAGTTCAGTATGCATATTCTTTTAGTACACTTTTTTCAAGTTTATTTCGTTTTTTTTTTTTTTTTTCTGATTATGGTTTCCTACTCATTTCGATAATTTTGATGAAATACTCTATAATCTTTACCACTATACTAGTACTAGTAATGCTTAATCGCATATAAGCCTTTCCTTCATAGTATATTTTTTTCCTTGCGGGAATATGGCAGATCTTCCAAGCTCAAATGTGCTTGTCAACCTCTCGGCATCCGAAATTCTCAAATTAGCCGATCATATCATTGCCAAGTCGAAGGAGGTTCATGATGCAGTTGCTTCGGTTCCCCTCGACAAGGTATTAAAATTCTCTTTTCTCTATTCAATCCATCTTTTGATTTTCTTCTGCATTGATAATTGATTAAGGCGCATATGCCTTTTTTTATTCCATGTCTACTCTGATTCTTAATTAATGAAATTTAAAGGGAAATTGCCATTTCTGTGCAATGAATTCCTGCCTTAACAGCAATAGCTTGAAAACCGATTTCTAACTATTCTCATCTTTGATTTTTGAGCAATAAATATGTGCCCAAATTTTACTTCACTTGGCGTTGGTTGTACAATAAAACTTTCTAGTTGATGTACACTATGTTTTCTTCATTCTTGGAACTTGGAAGCTGAGTTAGTGTTGGACATTGATACTGTGGGTCTCAGGAGAATTATATGTTGACATTAGGATTAATTTTATAGGTTTAGATTATGATTTATTGTTTCTCTTGATACATTAGTACGGTAGTACCAAGTATCAAGCAATAGTTATACCGTCGTTAATCAGCAATGATTCATTGATATTCGGTAGATTTTTTTTTTCTTTTTTTTGTTCACATATGCAGAAATAAACGTGACCAGGGAGGCTAAACATTGATCTGTGATGCTTGGTCTTGGTCTTGATTGTTGACTTGCTGTAGAAACCGTTAATTTTCCTTTATCTAGTGCCTTGGAAAAAATTCAGAAGTGCATTTTTCCCATTGCAAGGGGAAAAATCCACCATAAAACAATCTATAAGGAGCTCTAGCACAGTGCTAGATGTTCACTATTGCATTGAACATTGTCATTTCAGGTATTATGTCCATGCCCCTTTTCACTAAAGTAATTGCAACAAATAAACCATTTGGTGCTGTATTTTATTTGTTTCATTTTGGTTCAGTGCTTATATGCACCTTTATTTTGGAATTTGACCTTGTGCTACTAGATCTGATAATATTTTTTTTTGATGAATTACTAGATCTAGATCTGATAATCTTGAGCTGTCATACAAGTATATATTTGCCTACAGGTTTCTCATTTACTAATTTGGATGTCCTGCACATTTAGATATCCATATGCTTTTCCTCAATACATGTTGCTATAATATCTTTTGCAGGTCACATATATGAATGTTCTTTCACCATTGGCTGAACTAGAGGCTCAACAATTTCCATTGGTGCAGTCCTGTGTTTTTCAAAAGATGGTATCTGTTTCAGAGGATGTACGCAAAGCTGGTGCTGAAGCAGAGAGGAGAATAGATGCTCACAATCTGGCATGCAGGTCTCAGTTACCATCTTGATATTGCTTTTTTATGTTTTCTTTTTGTTTTTGAGGACCTTTTGGAAAGGTAGCAATGCTTGTGGCCTCTTGGATCACATGCATATTTGTCATTGACTTGTGTCTGAGATGTCCTTAACAAATGCATTCTCTGGTGTTGAAAAGTACAATGTTTACTACTGGCTCCCGCCAATGAGTGTGTGTTTTAGCGCAATGGTAGAGTTGCTCCATTTTGACCTGGGTGACCAGGGTATTTGTAGGAGCAAGGCTGCGTACATCTGTCCTTCCCCAGACCCTGCATTGGCAGGAACCTTGTGCACTGGGCTGCCCTTTTTTATTATAAAACAAATTAGTTATTCTCTTTGACAAGAAAAAGCAAATTGGTCAGGGTGTATATATCTTTTTTAGTTGTTCAGGCTTAGTAGTTTATGACATATCTCTCAAAACAGAATTTCTGGAAGTTCTCCAAGAATAAAAATCATCTTTCTATGGGACTGCACTTTTCTGATGGTAGAAGGGCACTGCCAGGTGGTGATCAGCTAGTTGTCTTCAAGTACAGTTGTTTCTTGGATCCTTAGGTTCTTAAAAAAAGTTATTAGAGTCTAAATATTGCATCCTTGTAGTACTTTTTTTTGGTAAATTAAATAATCAACATGTAGCCCACTTTTGTGGAGAAGAGGTTGTCTTATGGTGAATTTGAACTTGCCTGTATATAAACTAATGCTATATAGTTGCATGCAAGGTGATCAGCAAGCGCGAAGATGTCTACCGTGTTCTCAAGGCTTTTGCTGCAAGAGGGGAATGGACAAATGCTGAAGCCAAACGATATATGCAGTGTTTGGTATGGAAAAAAGTCAATTTTTTTTATGGATTTTCTTTTTTCTTTTGAAATGGTAAAGTTTTTGTATTGGTGACAAAAAGTATAGTATGCATTCATTTCAGAAGTGCAGTCAGAAGGCAACAGGAAGACGGGAATCGAAAAATTAACAAATAGTTTTGCTGTTCTTTGCACCTTGTTATGGGTATTGGTGGGGGTAGTTTTTTCTTGTTTTGGGTATTGTTTTGGTTTTTCGCTCTGTGCTTGTTTGTTGTTACAAGTGGTTTCTTTCTGCTTTGTATGGGGTATGAGTTTGTGGGTCGGGTTTGTTGGGATGGTTTGGCATATCTGGGTGTCTTAAGACTTAGTCAGAAATCTTTGGGTGTTTTATCTTTTTCATTCGGGTGATTGCTCATCTTTCTCTTGTATCCTCTTTCTTTTTTAATTTAATTTTATTTATCTTCAAAAAAGTATAGTATGCATTCATATACTCCCGTACAAGGCTTTGTACATATGGAGCACAAAATAAGTGCCTTATTGACTAAAAAGGATGACATCAATGCCTAATATTTTGTTAGAGAATAAATACCTATTCAAGGACCTCACCTAACAGCTTAAGCTTTTAGGTTGAACAATTCCTTGAGATGGTGTTAGAGCTTGTTTGACCAAGTGGTCTAGTGTTCAATCCTTGTCGCCTTCATTATAATTAGTTAAATTTTGACACAATGTATGGGTGCCTGTGCTTGTCCACACTTCTTGCTTGATGGAATTTCACGTGAGGGGTGCTTTAGAGAATAAAAACTTATTCAAGGACTTCACCTAATAACTTAAGCTTTTAGGTTGTGGGTCAGCCTCTTTTATAAGTCGCTTGCCTTTCTTCTCCCTTTCCTATGTGAGACACCATCCACTCACACGTGAATCCCAACAATCTCCTCCTCATATGTGAGTCCTTTGTTATTTGCTTAAAGAGCCCTACCTATCCAAGCACACTCAACCATGGAGAATGGGAAAGCCATGGGAGTCACCGACCACTCTTGCAAACCACTCACCAACCATTCTTGCCAATCATTCAACCATGGGAACTGGTAGAAGCATGGTAGTCACTGTATACATCCATCAAACCTTGTTCCTAACTGAATTATTAGCTTTGATGTCACTTGTTTGGGGGAACCGAGGGGGGTCACCAAAACCTAGGAGTTTGTAAACACAAGAGTTGAACACCACCTCTAACCCAAAAGCTTAAGCTATTAGGTAAGGTCCTTAAATAGATTTTTATTCTCTAACACACCCTCTCATGCAAAAGCCCATTGTGCTTGGAGCGTAGTCAAACATAGATCCACCCATACCTTGTGCTGAAGTTTAATTAATTATTAATGAGGGCAACAAGGATTGAACATTAGATCACTTGGTCAATAAGGCTCTGACACCATCTAAAGGAACTGTTCAACCTAAAAGCTTAAGCTGTTAGGGGAGGTCCCTGAATAGGTTTTTGTTCTCTAACATATTCATGGATTCAAATCATAAGAGAGAGCTCAAGCATCAGTTAAATCCTTGTGAATGGCAATCTAAGATGAAACTGTGCCTGCCAACTGACTATTCTCTTCAAAATCATTTCTATAGATGAAGGTTTGTGCTTTAAAATGCTTGGGTTCCTATTTTCCATAACATCCAAATGAAAGCCAAGGGTAAGATATTTCAAAGAGTTTTACACCTTCTACTTAGCTTCTTGGTGTGACATGGCCCACATCTCAAATGCTTGCTGTACAAGCTGTGGGAGGCACTGTCTCATGCAGTTGTGCTGAAGGTCTCTAAGAAATCAGCCCATAACAAAATGCTAAACTTTCATTGAAGAAACAAGTGGCAGATGGATTCATCTACTTTTTTACATGACACAATTGATGTCTTGAATATCCATATCTCTGGCCAGCAGTTAGCACTTGCCTGGGGTGGTGCTTGACAGCCCACACCATGAATGAAAGTTTGGAGGGGGCTTTTGAATCCCATATCCAAAAGTAGGGAATTCTGGTCTTGTTGGGCTGTGCAGTCTTTAACCTTGAACATCTTGGATCCTAAAACCTACTCTTGTATCACTACAATTTCTTTGATGGGCTACCTTTCAATTTCAAAATGAGGGCTGCTATGTCATTTTCACTATAATAATCTGTCTAATCTGTATTGCAACTTCTGTTCATTTAATTTGGAATGCTTCTTTTTTTTGATTGGTAACAACAAAAAATTTTATTGATTTCTATACCCCAAAACAAATGAGATCTATGGATTCCTTGCCTAGTTAAGGCATCAGCCATGCTGTTTGCACTTCTGGATACCTATTGGTATGTGACCATCAATTCTTCAGCTAGAGATCTAACTTCCCCGAGCAAGTATCTATATATCCATGTTCCTTGGGTTTTATTCTTTAATCAACCCACTACTAATTTGGAGTCTCCCTCCCCTGTTAAATTTCTGTGTTGGAGATTCCTGCTCAATCTCAGCTTGTGTAAGACTGCCATCAATTCTGCCCTGTTCATTTAATTTGGAATATTTATCTAGGCTACTTAGTATATTGAGCAATTAAGTTTCCTACCAGGCAATGCCGGTGATGGCATTACATGTTTAATTCCTCCCCTTCAACCCCACCCCCTAACATTCAGGAGTGGATTTTTGAATTGTTAACTTAAGCTAGGACTACTTCATGGTTAATCTCTATTTCCTAGTTTAAGATGTTTCATATTCCGCAAACAAGCTCATTGAACATTTATAGTTGTGGAGCTTTTCCCTTTTTTTTTTGTTTTGTTTTGTCATTCTTCATCTCCTCATGGAGATGTTATTTAGATTCTATTGCAATAACAACACATAGATGTAGAGAATAACCTGCAATTCTGCAGAGATTTCTTCAAGTTTACATAGTGATTCTTTTGTAATCAATGACAGCTTAGGGATTTTGAGCGGAATGGATTGAACCTTACTTTAAGCAAGAGAGAGGAAGCACAGCGTTTGAGAACTCAAATAGATGAGCTGAGTATGCGATATATCCAAAATCTGAATGATGATAGTAGTTTTCTTCTCTTCGATGAGACTGAACTGCTTGGGCTGCCATCAGATTTTATCAAGGTATAATATTCTTCCTTTTCCTTTAACATTACCCATAAGCAAAGTATATTAATTCAACTGTGTTCTATGGTGGACAAATATTGGCACTATTTTTGTGTTTATATGCTATTGGCATTCCCATAATTTAACAATGGATATGGCATTAAACAGAATAAAATGGTCAAACAGGGTTCATGTAGCCAAACCCGTACAGTTGGGATAGAGCTTTGAGTTGTGCCTCACCATACTTGCCTCAACTGGCACAAGTCCACCAAATTGAATAATTCCCATTGAAAGGGAAGTCGGATCTTTCTGGACTTAACATATCATGAATACAATTTGAAAAAGGTTGTTCAATATGCTTTGCTCATTAAGGCTTAACAAACCTGTCCTCCCTTTTTCTCAACTCCACTGAATCCATGCTTGGAATTGTGAAGATGGCTGTCATGTGTGATGGAGCTGTTCTTTCCCAACCAGCAGAAATAGCAGAGGCTTTTGCAACCCATTTTAAATCAATTTTTGGAAGGCCTCTAAATGAGAGGATTTGGGTGGAGGGGTTGGAATGGCCAACTCTTAGTTTAGAAACTAGAGTGGGGTTAGAGAAAMACTTTGACTTAGAGGAGATAAATGAAGCAGTATTTTCAATGGATGGAACGAAAGCTCCAGGCCCAGATGGATTTACAATGGCATTTTATCAAGATTGTTGGGATATTGTGAAGAAGGACTTAGTGTTGGTTTTTGAGGAGTTCCACAGGAGGGGAATCATTGATCCGGGTTTAAACTCCACATTCATTGCATTGGTCCCTAAGAAGAAAGAGGCATCACATCCAAGGGATCTCAGGTCGATTAGTTTGGTGAATAGTCTGTACAAGATAATTGTAAAAGTCTTGTCTCTAAGAATTAAGAAAGTTCTTCCAGCCATTATCACACCCAATCAAGGAGCTTTTGTGAAGGGAAGGTAGATCATTGATCAAATTTTGGTTGCAAATGAGAGCTTAGAGAATTTTAGGAAATCCAAGAAAAAGGGAGTGGTATGCAAACTAGACTTAGAGAAGGCTTATGACCTAGTTGACTGGTCCTTCTTGGTGGAGGTAATGAAAAGTTTTGGTTTTGGAGACAGATGGTGTAGATGGATCTAGGGTTGTATCAGGAGTTGCCATTACTCGATAT